GTATTAGGAAAATAAAAAAATGTTTCAGACAAAACTTACGTACTTTTTAACGTGGAATGCGAATCTGTTATAAAAAGTGGGGGTTCCCATTTTAGATTTTAAAGTTGTCCCCCTCCCCACCCACAGGGGTAGGGATGGGGGGGGGTCAATTTTGGTATCATTCGATAGCTCTTTCAAAAATAGGAAATACGTATTTTTCCGTTTTCCGATCCACCCACAATTTCTCGGGATATTCAACCGTTCCGGGACTTTTAGACCACCCTGTATAAGAATGATTTATGAAATATTCCAAATATTCTTGAAAAATATTCTTGAGACGTTCATAGGAGTGTCTTGTGCTATCTGGGATTGTGCTGCTAGGGAAAATACAAATGTTCTCGGTACTTTTGAAGCGTTCCATTTTGTATATTCCATTAAACCCTGAAAAATATGTAAAACATTAAATTATTGAAAAGAAAATGTTAAACATTGCGAAACGTACGTAGAAAGTACGAAAAGTTTTGAGAAAAATTTACACCAGGGTAACGAATTTACACGTTGTTGCAACGTTTCTGGAAGCTTCGGTGCTGTATGGGGCGAGACTGGCAAAAGGACGGTTACGTGCGAACGTGCAACGCAACACAGGGAATCGCCCTTGTCCTCTCTTCTACCTTTTATGTACCGCGGCTCGAGTCGCGGCGGACTTTCTCGAGTGACTGTACGCCTCCCGAGATACGACGACATCGAGCCATCGAGGCCCGTCCGTAACGGTACGCGGCGGCGGTTCGGGGCTCGGCGAGGCGGGCGAGGAGGTGAGCGAGGCGGAGGCCGCGTCTACTGCGACGCAGCGACCGCGTCGCGCGCGCGACTCATTTCCTACGCCGCGGTCCGTTTCCTCGGGCGTATTGATTTTCGCGTGGCAGGCGTTTATTCGCGTCCGAGTCGATCTCAAGAAACACTGCACGCGCCGGATCGACGAGCCCTGACGCCGAAACGCGAAAAATCGACGGCGTCGGCAGCAAAATCGCGGCACGAACGCGGGACTACTTTGCGCGCTGGCGCGGAGGGTTACACCTTAGTGGCGGCCGTGCGGGTATATAAAGCCCCACCACGTAGGCCCGCGCGGCCATTCCGAGTCCTTCCCTCGAGCGGTGCGAATGGATCTCGCTCGTGGCGGCGCGAGGCGACGACGTGGCTCCTCTGTGCGTCCCCGCGTACGGCTAGGGCCGCGAGTTGGATACCAGGTTGGTGTATTCAATAATTAGTTCAATACTTAGTTGTACGATGGGGCGAATGGTTCCTACGCGCGAGAACGCGGCGCAACTGTCGGCGACGGTGAGGGACGCGCGCAGCTGGCCGCGGGAGATCGAGATGGGCAAGCCGGGCCACACGGAGCAGCTCGCCAGCTGGATCACCAACGTGCGCCAGAAGAAGCTCAAGTGCCACAGGAGCCCGAAGCGCGACTTCCGCGTCGAGGCGGTGCTGACCCACGCCCTGCACAAGGCCGAGTACGAGCTGCGCTTTAAGCAGCTCTCGCGTATCTCCCGCTGGCGGCGCTTGCGCAAGCAGCTGCTCAAGGGCGTCGAGTATGGCAGCTGCGGCCTGTACAACGCGTCCGAGAGGGAGTACGAGATGCGCAGCCACCAGCGGCCCGGCGACGCGGCCAACTTCTGGCGGGAGAACATGTGCGAGGACCTGACCAGCATCGTCCATTTCCTGCAGCAGCTCGGCGAGGTTAAGTCGCCGGTGCAGCGGTGACAGGAGGCTCGCGGAGAACGCGCGGCGCCCGCGTTCCCCCCGCGGCGGCTCGTCCCCTCGAGGCGCCGCGTCCGCGGAAATTGGCGCGGCGGAGTGCGCTTGGCCGCGCTGCTCTGAGCGGGGGGGGAGACGTGCGTACGCGGCGCTTAACGAACGTTGTACCGATACACGACGACCCTCGGACGGTGCCTCGGCGCGTCTGTCTTCTGCCCGTTCCCCTCCCCCCCCTCCGTCCAGGAAGCGCGGAATCTGCGCTCCCGATACCAGCGCCCTCATCGTATCCGGAAGAACCGGCGGCGTTGCGGCCATCTTTGCAGCCCTGCCGTTACCCCGGTATATATATCTGGGTATTTTTTACTTGCAGTCTCACCGTTTGAGGTGGCGGACGCGGGTGGAAAGAGTGGGATAGGGCGAAAGAGAGAGAATATGAGAGAGAGGGAGAGAGAGAGTTGCTGTAATGCAGGTGCAGGCGGCCGGTACCCTTGGGATTTCGTACGCACGCGCACACACATACGTACATCGGCCCCTCCTGCCTGTCGTCGATTTGGTTTGTAAACTGTATCGAAACCAAAGTACTTTACTTAGAGTCTAATATAATTAGCTCGTGTGTACTTAAAGCAAGAGATACTCGCAGAGAGGGTGGAGAAAAGGAAGTTTTTTTTTTGTATTGTCTTAGAAATACTTTCGAGTTCCTTAAATCCGTAAACTCGTGTAGTTTGTACTGTAAGACTGCCTTTGCATTGTGATAATAATTCTATCAGTGTGTAGCATTTAACTTCTGATCCTAAACAGCGTAACGCGCGATCGATCAATTTTTTTTCAGAAAGATTGATAAATTTTTTTTTACATTTATTTTATCGAGCCGTTAGTCGATTGTCAAAATTCTGTTGGCTCAGCAGGCAGCGTTCTCGAACATTTGATGGACTTGTCTCGCAATTGTATTTCTATGGATGTTTTATGCCGTTTAGGATCGAGAAGGACGAAGGATCTCTATTATTGTAAGCCGAAAGACATTGTGATACATTTAGTTTGCAATAGATACATTTGTAAGTACAAAGCTGTGATAACAGATAACAGGACGAGGCGAGAAGTGCTGAGAGGAGTGTAAGATGAATAAATACGTTTTGCAAGTAACAATGTAGAGCTCTATTCCTTTTTTTTAACTTTTCTGCTCACCAACTTATTAATGTCAATCGTTTTCAGTCTGGCACACATAGGCGTCGTAGAAAAATACACCTTATCGCGAACGAAGGGGCTACGGCTGCCAGTATGGACGACGTCGTCGTAGTCGTCGTCACCGGCGAAAGATAGGATAGAAAGATAAGATTGCAGCGGGCAAAAGAAAGAACCATAGGGGAGTATATCTGCGCTTCGAGCGAGAGGGCGGGACAGAGTCTGTTTCTAGAAGCTGGCCGTATCGGCGCACAAGCGAAAATTATCCTCTGCACGATCCTCGTGATATCGAGCTCGTGGTAACCACGACTGCGATGAGATATGCCTTTCATGCGGTGAGCCCTCGTTCTCCCGGGTCGGTCATTCTCGCTCGGGTCCGGAGCAAGTCCGTTCTCGTTGAGTAACGTAGGATAATGATGCGGGGGACCCGTTGCCCTACAGGTTGCAGGTATACTTCAAGTAAGGTAACTCCGTCATGCAAGCATGCGAATAACCTATTTGAGTTACCGAGACATTTCTCCTGTTTGATGTAAAGTTGCCACCTATACGCTTGTTCGGCGTTGCCATAACAATGTGTCCATAGATCCGCAACCTGCCGTCGGCCACGCCGAGACCACAGCCAGGCTAGGGGGACGTTGACGCGTGTGTTTTAGATGGTCGAAGGGTGTAGGAGACTTCCGGGGATACCGGAGACTTAGCGAAGCGAAGAATACGAAAGATTGACGTAAAGACAGAGTATACGCGCAAGGATACACGTTGTATATGACAAGTGGAAGCGTTAGGTTTATCTCGACTCGGTAACACTGATCTCAACTTAAGTAGGGACTGAACTTTATTCATTTTTTTAATAGACGATGATGTACGCATCTTGATATTTATTCAAACGCAATGTCGAATTAGCAAGTCAAGTGCGAGAAAGTCTGAAGATCCGAGGATCCAAGAGCTCGAGATCGTCCTGCTCCGGGAGTCTTGGCCGTTGAAAACTTTCGGGAGTTTGAAGTCTAGGGAATTGAAAAAGAATCTCGATACTTTCATGGAACCCGCAATCCCGGTCTTAGCCTGCCATCCTAAGGATTTAAGTTCATACCAGAAACGAATCGAGGGAAATGATCGCATATACGAAGAGGGAAAAAATCATATGTAAACAGAGGGGAGAGATATATACATAAGGATACACGCAACACGAATAGCAGGAGTAAATCGATACCGCTCGAGGAACTTTCTATAAATCCGGTGAAAAGTAACCAGGATAAATGGAATTTACAAGTATATGTTTGGAATTTTTACTAAACCGTTTATCCGGTAATTCTGGGTGTTGCTTCATGGTAAACTAGACAATTCCAGTTCGGTACGAGACGCTTGTACGGTAACGCAATTTTCTTTCGATAACGTTCTTGCATTGGAACTTTCATTTATGGAAATGAAGGGTGAGATGTAAGAAGGTAGGGGGGGCGGGGGGTGCAAATGAGAGGATATTTTTGATTGACAGAAAGCTACGTGCGTTTGGAAGACGTCCCTCGTCCCGTTCGACCAGCGGACCGCGAGGAATGTGGTGTGAATTGCTCGAAGTCGTACGTGACGTACCCGTGTAAAGTGCAGTCTGTTGAACGCGACCACTCATGGAGGTTTGGTTTTGATGGACGGCTTGAAAGAGAGAATGAGAATGAGAGCGAATTTGATAGCGTAACTAGCTATCGTTCCTTATATCATGATCGTAATAATATCTATATGTTGTTGCATTTTGCTTTGCTCGGTTTCTCTTTGTGTTTCACACAGCAGGGCGGCAGAGCTAGATCTAAACCTTTCATAAGTTAGAGAAACGGCCCCGGCGTGTCATCTGCGCACCCAATTCAGCCACCTGTAAGGCGATACGTTGCCCCGTGATCGTCCGCTGGACTTGCGATATGTTACTCGGTGATCAACCGCTGGATTTGCGCGTTGCGTGAGAAACGATAAAGGTAACGAGAGACGTAGGGTCGATCATTCTTGATCCTTGTACCTTGTACCTCGTACCTCGCGTATGCAAAATGTTAGAACGGGGAGGGGGCGCGGGGCAAAACAATGTTCTTATGAGTCATAGGAAGATGCTGTTTTGCACAATGGCGATGAAGGAAAATGGCGCTTGGAGGCTTTTGAGCACAAGATTGCTAGATATAATTGCTGATATCGTATGCTGACGTGATGATACGCTGATGCCCCATATTTCGGTTAATTTGGCGACTCCACCCGAATCCGCACGAAACTTCTGCAAGGATACGCCGAGCCCACGAAGCTGCGAATGTGAAAATCTCGAAATTAAGTTTAAGGATATGAAATTTAAGCGTCCCATCAACGCGAAGAGGATGTGAAGCTTCATTAATTCCACAATTTGAGAACTTGGCACGCTTGGAGAACACACTCGAGGATCTGTAGTCATCTAAGGGTCTAAGAATCCTAAGCTAGAGTTTTTGGATATGTCCTTTTTAACTCGTTTCATTTTCATCATTAATTTAGCCGGAACTTATCGCAATTTGCGTATATCCCCTAAATTTTATTTTGTAGAAATTGCGACGATATATTCGTCCAATATGGAGCAAGCTTATATCGAAAGAATTGAAGGTACTTGATGAGAAATCCATCTGAATAACAAATGAATTTGCAATTTTTCGTACTCGGAAAGAAGAAAAGAGTATCGCATTGTTTTTGAAAGTATAAGATTTAAAAAGTTTTAGAAGGAAGAGAGGAAGAGAAGTATACAGCATTTCATTAATTACGATTTCAGTAGATCTCCACGTTCATTTTTTAGGACATTTAGGAAATGTGTAATATTATGGGGGCGGCAGAATACTGACAACGGGGAGGGGATCAAATACCACTTTGTTTTTTCACAGAGAGCAGTCATTCGAATCACGGCGTTCGTTGCACCCAAAACGTGTTCTAGTCATGGAATGAGTAGGATGGTTCGATCATTTAAGACAATGGTTCGCAATGTGACGTATCACACCATGTTTCTAAGGGAGCAAGAAAAATGTATGAGAATTGGTTAACTAATTGTGGAAAGGGAAAATTGTGCAAAGCATTGAAGTTCCTCGGCGAGAAGTTCCTAGCAAGCTGTATCGTCAAAAAACGTTATCGCGTCTCTCAACAAGGACTTGGTCTCTCTTTAAATAGCTTTAGGTTTTGCAACAGAGAAAGTGAGGTTGAAAAATGCAGTTTTTCCGAAAAGGATGCAATTACAAAGTTTGGCATAAGATGCATGGACACAAATGTGGATTGTGGGCTTTAATAGAGTTAATTAGAAGACGTGAGCTAATTAATGGTATAATTAAGAGGAAGACTATAAGCATGACTCGATGATATGTAATAGTTAAGAAAAATGCACCGAGTAGATGCGGTGAGAGAGAGAAAGAGAGGTAAGCAACAGCTTCAGGATTTCAGTCAGGTAACGATTTCTAGAAAAGAATCTTTTGCCGTCGTGCTCTTTTAATCGCTTAACTACCAAGCATTGAAAAATTAGCATTGGCTTTTTTTAAGCAATTGCTTAATTATTGAGCGTTGAAAGATTAGCATTGGCTTTCTCCAAAATCTGCTACAACATTGTGAGATATTTAACTCGAAATATTTAACATTTACAAAAATAGTGAAGATTTGAAGTGAAAACTAATATGTCAATTTTCTTGCAATGCAAGTTCATAGTCTTATTGAATTTGTTGGATCAAGTCATTAACTAGATACACGAAAATTCAAATTTATTCCAATTTCGCCCTACTAGTACACTCGTTATATTTACTATATCTGGATCTGAATGGACTCGTATATGTATATCTTAACTGGCTTTAATGAGGTATATTCATGTTTTTCTTTTTTCCATATTTTATAAATGTATATTTAAGAATGTTGGAAGAGAGTGAGATGCCTGTGTACAAAGTAGTCGCGTTTAAAAACAGAACAGGAATAACTTGTACGTGAACGAAACGGCTTGCGCTTCCGTTCCTCGGTGTCGTCGCGAAGAGCCTTGTATCTCTTGGTATCCCGAAGAGGCTCGATTCCATTTTCTCTCTCGCTCTTGAGATTCCGTTGCAGTCGTCAACCAAAGAGGCACCTCGGACGTGTGAGTTATCCGTCTCTCTAAAACTTTGCCTACTAACGGAGTGTTTTAGAGAGGCACGAAGGTGATCGACCATATCGTGATTTATCGTCCGCCTTCGAATTCGGCGCTGGCTCTCCAACACTTGCTCGACTGCGCGATCTTGCAAGTTTGGTCTTTGAGTTCTCTTGTCGTTGGCTGCCTTCGAGGTCGTAAAGGTTTCTCTCTTCTGGACACACGAGACCCTGCATTCTGTGATTCATCACCTGCTACATCAGCAAGATTCTTCATCAACTAGGATTTCATTGCAAAAGGGATCGCCGGTGGATCTTCGATGCAAAATAAGAGTCGTCGTGGGACTTGCAAGAGGATTTTTCCAACAGCGCTGGTGTGAAATAGGCAGAGTTCCAGAAAAACGGCATAACCTTCTTCTAAAAAACGAGTAAGTAATTTTATTTATATTTGATTATATCAAAATATTGTTTTCAAAAAGTTTATAAAAATATGTTTATTTCTTTTCTAGATTTATTTCTCCGAATGTTGAACATTCGTGAAAAATCACTCACCACATTATTATTGAAGAAATATTGAATACTAAGAGAACATCTTGTTATTCATCATTGGGTCAACACATAGGACTTCATTGAAGAAGTTAATCACAAGACTTTGTCGCAAAGATCACCATAAAATCCTTCTGTAGAAAAAAATTTTGGGATTTTATTACTACGGAAAATTATTATAGAAAATCAAGAAATTTTGTTACAAAAAATTCTTTAAGATTTTGTCGCGGAAAAGGATTATCACATTTTAAGTTTCGTTGATCAAAATATCATCGTGGACTTCATCACAGACGAGGATTATAGCAGGACTCCATTGCAGAAGAGGATCGTCACGAGACTTTATCGCAGAAGAGGATCATCGTAGGGCTTTATCACAAAAGAGGATCATCGCGGAACTTTATCGCAGAAGAGGACCATCGCGGGATTTCGTCACAAGAGGATCGTCGTGGAGTTTTGTCACAGAAGATGGACTATCGCAGAACTTTGTCGCAGAAGAGGACTTTATTGCAGAAGAGGACCATCGCGGAACTTCGTCACAGAGGAGGATCTTCACAGGACTTCATCGCAGAAGAGGACCATCGTGGGGCTTTGTCACAGAAGGGGATCACCATGGGACTTCGTCGCGGAAGAGGACCATCGCGGGACTTCGTCGCAAAAGAGGCTAATCACGGGATTTCATCGCAGAAGAGGATTATCGTGGGACTTTGCCGCAAGGAGAGGATCATCGCAGGACTTCGTCGCAGAAAAGGATTATCACAAGAGTTGTCGTAGAGGAGATCATCGCGGGACTTCACCACAAAAGAGGATCATCGTGGGACTTCGTCACAAAAGAGGATTCTCACGAAACTTTGTCGTATAAGAGAATCGTCACGAGACTTTATCGCAGAAGAGGACCATCACGGGACTTCGTCACAGAAGAGAATCTTCACGGGACTTCATTGCAGAAGAGGACCATCGCGGGG